GGGCGTGGAACGCGACCGAACTCTCGCTTCCGCCGATAGACGCGCACGACCACACGACCCACTACACGACCATTACGCGACCCACCACGGACCACACCATCGACAAGACTACGGCGACAACGAGGGTAGGTTTCCCTCGCTGAAAACGGGAAAACGTCGACTGAGACGCGGTTGAGAAGAGGACGTGGCCCGAGAGGGTTTACTCCAACGAACACTCCCGGCTTTTCCAGGCCTCCTCCTCTCCTCACCTCCTCGTTGCGCACGCTCCATCCGACTCCCTGTTCCTGCTTCCCCTCTCGTTTCCCTACCCTTTACCCTCCTCCGTTTCGCTCATCCCTCTCGCCCTCTCCTATCCTCTTCCTCGCTCTTCCTACCTCCGCTTCTCCTACCTCTCTCGTCCACCCTTTCGATCTTCTCCTTTTATCTCGTGACTCTCTTCCCTCTTGGTTCGCCACCCTCCGCTACCCCTCCGTTTCTTCTTTCCCAACCGACCCTCTATGTATATATCCGATCCCTTTCCCTCCCTCGAGTTGGCATCTTCTCTCGCCCTGCGTAGCGTCTACGCTTCTCCCAGCGTTTGTTAGTTCGCTCGCACTCGCGCGAGCTAGCCGCGACGCGACGCGTCCCGGGCGTTCTCAGCTTTTCCACCCTCGAAGCGCGCACGCGCGGCTGCAACCCCGGGGATGTCCTCCTTTCTCTCGCTGCGGGACTTTCTTTCTGTCTTTTTCGCTCCTGCAGCTTCGAAAGATAGAACGAGATCGAACGAACGTTGGACAAAGAGGCGAGGTAAGAGGGTGGTTGCATCCCCTTTTTCCTTCCGTCTCCTTCCTCTTTCCGTTCATCCTGTTTTTTCTCCTCGCTGTTTGGACCTTTTCGCCTTTCGGTAAGTTTATTTTTTCTCTTTTTTTTTTTGAAACCCCATGTTCAGACGCGAGAGCAACATATTTGTTGCGTGTTGATCGTTTCTCCTCTTTCCTCCTTCTTCTTGCTCCTACAGCGTTTCTTTCGTGTTGCTCCTTTCTTTATTTTATCTTTAAAAAACTTCTTCGTACTTTCGATTCGCCTACTTTTTCCAGTCCACGTGCGTATTTCGCTGCTATTCTCCCGGTGTGGCCTCTCGATACTTCAACTTTCACACGTGCGTCGTTTGTCCCAGCCATAGACCCGACGTGTCCCTTTGACTTTTATTTTACTCACCGCGTATGTAGGTGCGTGGGACTTGATTTTCCGGTCGCGAAACTCACCTACTGGTTTTACCTTATTTTCGCTCTCGGCTTCGCGTTGCTCCCATCCACCGTGCGTCTCTCTCCTCCTCTTTGTATTTGTTTTACGCGTTTTGTCATTCCCGTTTCCTCTTCCCGTCACGCGTCGAATCTTCTTAATTTTACTATCGAATATCTCGTTACCCTTTCCATCACCGTTTTTCTCTTCTTTCTTTTCCACATACGCGCAAGTTCTCCTCTGCTTTCTTACAAGCGCTTCTTAACTTTTCTTCTCCCTGTCTAATCCCTCTTCGCTTCGATCGACTTCTTTTTTCCATTTATTCCATATTTTCAGTTTGCCCTGTCCATGCTAAAAAGTTTTCCATCTTTTCGTTTCGCTGTGTACATATACCTTCGAAGTTCATGCGAATCGTCTTCCGCCAGCCTACAGGAATATTCCGGTTCGATTCACCGGCGTCGTTGAATATTTTAACCGTTGATCAATTTCGACTGTTCCGCAAGAAAGAAACCACCTACGCCGCAGCGAATTCTTGCTGCAATTTCTACAAACCGTTACTCGTCCTCCGATCGTCGCTTTTTCGGTTCAGTTTTTATTTTCTTTTCCTTTTTTCTTTACGAGTGTGCAAAGTTACAGGTTTTTTGACGAATGAACGATCGTGCAGGATATACGGAAGCTGTTACAGAGAAAATGACGCGTGAAAGGTTGGATATAGTTCTTCTTGTCACTGCTAGTTTTCCAGCTTCCACTTCCCCTACAACCGTTTGTCTTCCGTTTATCCTTTTTTGTCTCACTTTGGCTCCTCTTCTTGTTCATTCGTCAAACGCCAGACCGTTTTGTCGGTTGACACGAAATCGGACAACGCGACTTGTCTCTCGTAATTTCGGCGAAACAATCGGAGTCGCTGGATGCCAGCTCGAAAGCAGCGAGAATTTCTCTTTAAGCGGAATCCTCGTTCAGATCTGCCGCGGAAAATTGCCACGGTTGCTCTTCTTTTACTTCATTAATATCGTCCTTCGTACCAATTGTCTTTGTTCTTTTAGCTTTATTTATTTCTTTCTTTCTTCGATTATTTAATACTTCTTGATTTATTTAATACTAACGGTCCTCGTTCCGATATTATAATACAGAGAATTACGTCGAATGTTAGTTACTTTCAGATCAAATGTCCACGGCCGTGAGCAGAGTCAGGAAACGGGCCAAAATAGTCAGCAATTCCATTTTCGTGCAACGAGGAAGGTAAATTTGCGACTTTGAGAATGTTATACGACGAGTTTAGAAAGAAAGCTGTTCGTTTCTAAAATTATCTTCGTTAATACCGATGTTCTATTTTAAATATTTCGAATGTTTTTCACCTCAAGTCCCAAGAAAAGGAATGCAAAGTTGTCTCGTTAAAATAAGCACGTCACATTGGTTTCTCGTCTTATCGTTCTTCCAGCACGACGAAATGGTCGGCGTTATCGCGTCTCGTGTTCGAGATTTTCTAGGTAAACGAGGATCGTTGTGGAACGCGCGAGGGGAATCGAACGCGAGCGAGCAGCGCGCAAAATTCCGCGCGATTTCTCCTGTTACAACACCATTTGAGCGACGCGGCTTAATGCGGCTCCAGGGGGAAAAAACTGCGCGTTATTTCCTACATAAAGCGCGATATTTATATCACGAAGCGTGTATGCGCGAACCAAAGCCGACAGCTTAAGCTCCGTATGAAACGACGTTCGATCGAACGTTCGTTCTCGTTTAACTCTCGTCGAAAATATGCTGGAAATTTAGTATTTCGATTGGTTTTCCCTTTTAACCGCTTCGATATTTATTTCGCCCCTTTCCCTCTTTTTATCCGTACTCGCCAATTTATATTTTGCTTTCAATTTCTAAACCGCGAAACAAAGACAGTGACAGTTGAATAGTCTGTATATTTCATTTGTTTAATTACTTAAATTAACTGCATATTTAAATAGAGATTAAATATTGGTAGTTCTGACCATTAAAGTCGTGAGACGATATTCGCCATTAATTTAACTGTCATTCTTAAAAACGATGATTTATATTGCAAGGCTGAAGATTCATCTTTCGTATCTTAAACTACAATTTCTCGCGAACTCACGACACCGATCGTTTTCCTTTTTCTTCGACCCACCGCTCTCCGCCAGCAAAAAGGATTGGCGTTTCAATTCGCCGGAAATTCGACAAATTCCGGCCGTTTTTTCACGCGCTAACGACACCGGACAGATTTATTCAGCCCGCACTGCAACTCGTTTCCGGATAAAAGTCCCTCCACTCTGACCTGCTGGACTATCTCCGAGATAGTCTCGCAAATTCTTTCCCTCAACGACGCTTCCTCGGCGCTCGTTCGCGATATTTTTTACGCTTCCGAAATCGTAACGATCTGTATGAAACGAGACTTCCTTAACACTAGCTTTACCAGGCCTGGTTGAACGACCGGTTGCAATATTTAATATAAAATTGTACGGTTATTGTTATTTATCTCTATTCACCTAATTTTAAAATTCATATATTATCTGATTAATCAATTTCTCAATTTTTGTTAATTTAAGAATTTACGTAAAATTAGACGAACAGAAGAAATTACGATTTTAAATTAAGTTTTGATTTTTTTTGCAATTAATTGTTTTTTACAACGATCGCATTAAAGGTGGGAATGGGAAATACTCACTTTTTTCTTCGAGCGAGTAACGCTAGGAAAAAATATATCCGAAATTTTGTAAAGTTATGGAATTGTCAAAGGAGGAATTTTGGTCCCACCCTGAGAATTAGATATTGGGAAGATCGAACTGGTCTCTAGGGGTTGTTGCGGAAGACTCGAATCTTTCTCGAAAATCGCTCGTGGCACGACCACGGTCAAGTTTCCACGATCCTCTGTTCCACGTTTTTCGATCCACGTTTTCGATCCACGTTACCGAAATTCGAATAGCTAAATCCTTTACCGCGACCGAAGGAATTATTTCTCGATTCAACGAACGCACACAGCGAGACGAATCGTCTCTTTCATTGTATCTCTGAAATTGGATCGTGAAAAATAGGGTTTCCTCGATACTCTGGCCATTTTGAAATGCTGCCAACGCGATCGTATCGGGCTAACAGGCAATAACGACGGGCGAGCGATGATCGTAAACGATGCAAAAAGCAGAGGATAATAAACCCTCGATCGTGGTTCGTTCGTTCCACTTGATAATTTACCTCGCACCCCGCTTGCCAGTCGTTTCACGATAGAAACTTTCGGCAAAGCTCGGTCAACAGCACGGTTTACAGTCGGTGAACTTTGCTTCAGCGCAACTGGATTCGTTGAAAAATCATCGAACTTAGCTCGCTTCGTCTCCAAGTTATCGCACCTATCTCCTGGATCGGGAAACTGTGACGAAAATTAAAACTGTCGCGAGAGAAACGCTTGCTTGGTGCGGTGAATCAAAAATTTACGCGGTTTGCGTGCGTAAGAAGTTTCACGTTTGGCAGAAAGTCAAAAGTATCGCGAGCAACGTTCTCTCGTTCGATGGTTTATTCGGATAAACTCGCGTAAGTACAATGCGTCGCGAATCAAATGGAATGGCCCTGGGCCAATAATTAATTCAGGATCGTGCAACGATCGTTTAATCTGTAACGCAATCTCGCGTCGTGTCGTCTCGCCAATTTTCCAAAGCAATCTGTCCGTTCAAACAAAGGCCTGTAAGTGGATCGAAATCATTCTCTATCCTCGATTCATTTCGTTCGTTTTATATTTTATTTTTATTTCTCCTCCGTAACAAATCGAACGTATGTGTTCGACAAACTTTGAAAAATATATCGTCGACGACGAATACGATGAAAATATTCGACGAAATTCTTCTCCTTCGTTGCGTATAAATCATAAAGAGATATCCGAAGTATAAAAGGCAGAGAATAAACGAGAATT